CGGTGTGAGGACTTGAAGGAGGCCGCCTGAGCTCCTGGCCCCGCTTGCGGGCCCTCCCCATGCCAGGGGACGGGGGGCCCGGACCTGCGAGAGCAGACGGAGCAGAGTCGGAGGCGGGCAAGTCCGACCATGTGCAGGGAGTGGCGGCTGAGGGCCAAGGCCAAAGCCTGAGGGAGGCCGGGGAGGGAGGTTGGGTGCTGGGATGGGAGAGCTTAGGCTTCGGAGTGCCCGGGACGCTCCTTACAGGGTGCAGGTGCTCCAGAGACGTTCTCTCACCAACTGTTTACAGCCCTGAAGGTCCGACCTCTAATGAGGCCTCAGAGGCTCTGACAGGACAGGAAACCTCCCCAAGCTCCCTGCTCCTCAGCCCAGACTCCAGAATGTTTTCACTACCCGTCTTCCTGCCCCCCCCCCACGCTTTGGCTTGTCCATGGGCATTGCCCACCCCCTGAGCCCCCTCCCCAGATGGCTGGGTTCTGAGCAAACCAGAGGAGCGAGCCCCACGCTGGCGGCCCTCCCGCAGGCTGGGTGCTGCTCACCGCCCAGCCCCCCGCGCCGGCCACCTGCCGGGCAGCCCCTGGGTCCTCTGAACGGGGGCGGCGAACGGCCTGGGAGGCTGAGCCCATTCCAGAGCCTGCACAAGGCTCCCTCTGTTCTGGAAGCTTTCAGAAGGCAGCAGACACCCCGAGCTCCCGGTGAAATGAGGGGTTCTTTGCTCCTGCAGGGAACTGATTTTCGGTGGCCTGCCCTTCGTAAAACAAACAGTGGTGTCTAAAGCTTTGTGTGGCTCCATCCAGGATCTGCTGGGGAGGGGTCTGAAGGAGCCGCGCCCCCGCCACCCCCTCAGCTCCCCGCCCTTGGCAGCTGAGAGTGGAATCCCATTTCAACAGGTGCCTGAGCCAAAAGGAACATTTGGGTTCTTTATTTCCGGCCTGCGGTGTGAAAGGGCCTGCGGGGCTGGCGAGGCCGAGCCTTCGCACCCATTTGTCTTCACACCGTCATTCCGAATGAGCCTCAGGGAGAGCAGGGGAGCCTTGGGAGGCCGGGGATTAATCCAGACCCTGGTTCCCAGCACCAGGGGTGTGCTGGGGCCCTGGGAAGTTACGGGGAGCTGGGGGAAGAGGGCGCTAAGTCAGAGGTAGAATCCCAGAGCCTGTCCAGGCTCTCTCTGTGCCCTGGCAAGTGATGTCCATCGTTCCTTCATTTTCTCCTCGCTCCTTCATTCTTCACACACACACGCTGAATGCCCGGGGGCTGGTCTTGGTCACAGGTGCTTCTGTGCACTCCATTGCTGAAGGTGGGCCTGGTTCCTCACGTCGGTGAGGCCGTGGGCATATCCTGCCGCCCACGGGGATGCTCGAGGTTGTCCCCAAGGCCCAATCTCCCTCATTCTGGCAGGAGCAGCTGTGAGGGACTTTCTATGTGATAGGAGACGGAAAGCAAATACAGTTGACCCTGGTACAATGCAGGGGAGAAGGGTGCTGACCCCCCCACACAGTCGAAAATCCATATAGAACCTCTAACTCCCCAAAATCGTAATTAGTAATAGCCTACTCTTGACCAGAAGCCTTACTGATAACATCAACAGTTGATGACATGTGTTTTGTATGTTATGTGTATTATATACTATATTCTTATAACAATTTAAGCTAGAGAAAAGAAAATGCTATTAAGATTGTAAGGAAGAGAAAATGCATGGATAGTACTTCAGGTATATTTTTTGGAAAAAAATCCATGTATAAGTGGACCTGATCAGTTCAAACCCATGTCATTCAAGGGTCACTGTATCCATTCCCTGTCCTCACAGAGGCCCTGAGCCTTTAAGAAGAGCGGCAGACAGAGCTGTGCTTAAAAAAATGCAGCTTTACCGCGATGTAATTCACATGCCCTACAATGTATCCGTTTAAAGTGTACCATTGGGTGGGTTTTAGTATGTTCACATGATTCTGCAACCATCACCACTATCTAATTTGAGAACATTTTCATCACCCCAGAAAGAAACCCTGCACTCATGGTCATTCCTCCCTCCCCTGCTCCTGCTGACTGGGCAATTCGCTTTCTACATCTACAGGTTTGTCTGTTCTGGAGATTTCGTGTGAATTGGGATCATGCAATACGGGGCCTTTTGTGTTAGACTTAGGTTTTTAAGTAGTTCATATACTTCTCTCCAAGGCTGCTTTCCATAGCAGCCACATCTCTGCCCGGGGTGGGAGAACACGGGCCATGGAAAAACTGAGGGGTTAGGAATAAAGGACCCCCAGCACCTGGAGGCAGGTGAGGGAGCTCAGGAGAGAGGCAGCAGGAGGGGGCGTGGGCAACACTCTTCCAGAGCCCTGGGGGCTCCGGTCTCAGTTTATTTTTCAGCGATCCCCCATTTGATCCTCAGGCCTTCGGTCAAGTCTTATTGCAAGACATGCTGGTGTTGGATGCACTTTGGGGAACAAAGGGTCTGGGTCTCCTGCGTGTGGTGAAGTTGGACAGGGGAGAGGAGGACTGGTCACCACTCTCAGGTCAGGTGGCAGCACTTGAAGCTTTCGGCTCCCAGCTGCTGTTCCCCCTGAGGGTCTTGAAGGTACCACTGAGTCAAACGTGTGCTTTCTGTTTGTGTTTTTATCTACTGCTTATCATGTCTCCTCTAAGTCAAGCACTCTGTCCTGGGCAAAAGGGAAAAACAAACATGGCCGTTGGGGGAGCTTGCACTCCGACACAACCGATTCATGGGCACATGACATGAGGACATGGATCAGGAGGCAGAGAATGGAGAGCATCATGGGGAGCTGCCCTCTCAAGTTTCCCGGCCACAGCCTTGGTGGAGGCCCAGTAGAGGCCTGTTTGTAACCTCAGCGTGGGTGAGGGGAACAGACCTGATGGATGGAGGGGCTGTCGGCCTGGGCTGGGGATGGTTCCCTCCTCTGCGGCCCCCACGTCCCCATCCCTGTCTGTCACCCCTGCTCAGGGTCCCCACGGTCCGCCTCCCTCAGTGGAGTGTTGGAGCTCTGAGGCACAGCTCTGGGATGCTGGTGTGGAATGGGCTAATTGCTTACCCAGTGTACATCTCTTCTTCTTCCTTAGCGTATTTGTTTGCTAGGCCTGCAGTAACAAACGAAGTACCGCAGACCGAGTGGCTTAAACAACCACATATTGCCTCACAGTGCTGGACGCTGGAAGTCAGAGACGGGGTTTTGGCGGGGTTGGTTCTGAGGGCTGAGAGGGAGCGGTCCGTTCCAGGCCTCTTGTCCCTGTGTCTCTTCGCATGGTCTCCCTTCTATGCATGTCTTTGTGTCCAAATTCCCTCTTTTTATAAGAACACCAGACATTCTGGTTTAGGACCCAGCATAACGGCCTCATTGTAACTTGATTACCTCTGTAGAGACCTCATTTCCAAATAAGATCACATTCTGAGGTACTGGGGGTGAGGACTCCAACATACCTTTATGTGGGGGCCACAATTCAACCCGTGACACTTGGTAATAGCAGTCATAGCAATCAGCTTTAGTTGAGAGGCTGTGTATACAGCTAATAGATGCACCCCCCCACACACACACACACCTCCTGTGTAGCCCATGCAGCTTATTTGACTGGGTTCAGGCCAAGGAGATGTAAGCAGAATTTGGTGGGTGACACTTGGGGACAGTTCCTTCAGAGAGCTCAGATAGGTAGACCTCCTGCCTTCTTCCAGCTTCTTTCTTAGGTTGAGGTCATGATAGCTGGAGTTCTAGCATACATCTTGGGCCCTTCCAACCTTCCAGTTGGAAACTGTGTTCTAAGGACAGTGGGGCAGAAGCTGGAAGGAGCCTGGGCTTCTGACAAGACAGTGGAGCCACCTCCAACCGTTTTAAATGGGAGAAAATAATTGAATTCTCCTTTCTTACTTCCAGTCTCTGTTACTAGCTGCCAGAGGCAACCTTAACGTAAAGAGCCTCCAAGGCTCTACGGTGCAGTGGGAAAGGCAGGTAGGAAACCAGCTACCGAGGGAAGCCAGCTTCTCCCTCTCCCACTCCCCCTGCTTGTGTTCCCTCTTTCGCTGTGTCTCACTCTGTCAAATAAATAAATAAATAATCTTAAAAAAAATAAAAAAAAATAAATCCTCTACACTTGCCAATTCTGTGGTCTTGGGCTCTGAGTCTTAATTTGTGTAATGATAAAAATGGAGGGTATAATACCAGGGCTGTTTTAAAAACGAAGCACAATTAAATGTATAGCATTTCGCACAATGCCTAGCACACGTTGGATACCCAAGGAACGGTGGCCATTATTAATATTACAATTTTCTATAAAAGAAATCTTGTTCTAGTCCCCATGTGAGGCTCCACTTACCTTCTGACAACCAGAGTTTACTTTTCCCTAAGACCAAGTCTCTGATTTACACACATTGTGTTCATGAGGTTCCCATCTTATTCTCTTGGCCCTCTTTTGATCTTGAGAACCTCATTAGTACATGAGTCCCTGGGTTGCCTCGGTTCCAATTCTGGCACCTTCCAGTCTGTCCCCTCCAGTGCAGGTAAGCCTTCCATGCTCAGCCAGCTTACCAGCCAAGTCAGAATATAGGAAGCGCTGGGGGCTATACATTCTGCCCAAGGGTCTTGGTGAGTGAAGAGGGTCTTCCCGTGAAAAGAGTAAGGAATCCGTTGCAAAGATGGCGCCAGTGTTCACCCTTCCCCGTGCCCCTGCCGTTTGCAACTCGATGGAGCCATTTCACCACTGCTTGCATTTGAGCCAGCCTTGGGACTTGTTTGGCTTATAAAGGCAGTGGAAGTGACAGTACCAGTTTTGAGCTAAGGCCTTAAGAAGCCTTGTACTCTTCCACTTGCTCTCTCGGACTCTTCTTAGAGCCCTTCTCCCCACCAGGCCTTTTCCTTGGCTGCCGAGCTCAGCTCAGCAAGATTCCTGCCCAGCCAGTTTAGCAAACATCCCTCCCCTCTCCCCCACACCTAACCGAGTTCCTGGTATTTTTCCATCCACTGACTCTCTCACCCTGCCCACTGGCTATGCGTCCCCAGCTCTCTGTTGGATTCGGAGTTGAGTGCAGTCTCTCTCTGCCCCTGTTACAATGGTCTTGACCTCTCCTGCAATAGTCTTGAGTAGATTTCCTTGCCTGTTTAACTCTGCCCAGGGTGTGTTTCTTTGACAGCTTCCACCATGAGAACAAGCCCGGACTTGCCTGCTGGAAGCTAAGAGACCACGTGGAGCAGGGCTAAGTCCTCCCTGCCAAGGCCATCCCAGACCAGCCTGCCCTTAGCCGGCTGCGGACGCCTAAATGAGCCCGGCGGAGACCAGCTGAGCTCGGCTTCGGTAAGCAGAACTGTCCAACCGACCCCGGGGGGCACGAGAAATCAGGAATGTTTGTTAGCTTACCCTGCTGCCACTGGGGGTGGCCTGATTTGCGGCAATATTGTAGTCAATATAAGTGACGACGGGTATAGCGGAGAAGGAAAAGGTAAGAGAGGCAGAGCAGAAGGACGTTTGGAAAGAACCGCTGCCCTGAGCTCCTTGGGGCCTGCAGAGCTCATATCGTGTGGTTCCCCCGGCATTAGCGAGGGACAGCTCTATCTCTTCGGCTATTGCACCCCGGAAGGAGGAGGGAGGATAGGGCTGCAGCTGAATGTGTGCATCCTGCAGTCACAGGGCAACAACCGGAGGCCAAGGAGGACGGAGCCTGAGGGCAGTGAGGGGCTGGGGGACGCTGGGGTGGCCTCCGCGGTCTATGCCAGCTGGGGAACGATGGAGAACAAGTGAGTCCTAGGTTCCACATCACTTGGATTGAACGCAGGGGGACCGAGCTATGAGTAGCAGGCTGAAGAACTCTGAAATATCAGCACTGAACACACCGCACGCTGGAGTCCCCTTCTGGAATATTCTCCGGCCCGGTCTGGGCCCCACCCTGCCCTGGGCCTGTTCTGCTCCCACATAGTGTCTCTTGCCTCCTCAGCCGTTTCTTTATTTTTGTATCTTTAAAAATTGTGGTAAAATACGTCTAACATAAAATGTACTACTATGACCATTTTCAGTGTCTGTTTCCGTGGCATTAAGTACATTCACAGTGTTGTACCACTATCACCGCCATTTCTGGAACTTTTCATCACCCCAGATGGAAATTCAGTACCCAATAGACAGTAACTCCCGATCCCTTCTTTCCCCCAGCCCCTGGGAACCTCGAGTCTACTTCCTGTGTGCCTGAATTCGCCGAAGCTAGGCACCTCATGGAAGTGGAGTCATAAATTTGTTCTTTTGCAGCTCTCAGCTCTTTATTCTCAAAACCACAAGTTCTGTTTTTAGACATCTGAAAAGCAGCCCACCAGGGATCAACACTTTCCTTAATACCCATCCCCCCTCCCGTGGCCCCTGCAAGAGCTGGGCTGCATGACCATGACCTTGGGGTATGGGTGTCCCTGTCCTCATCAAATCTCCCCACAAAACAAAACAAGTCACTCCTCCTGACCAAGCTCCTGACAGGGGCCATGAGGACACCCCGCCCTGCATTTTCCTTTCCGCTTTGTGAGTCCAGCCGGTCTCCCTCTGCACTCTGAGCCACCAGCTTGTCCCCGCTCCAGTGCGACAGGGAAGCCATGGCCCGCTGAGGGCACTATGGGCCTCGGGTTTATCTCACCAACCCCCAGAGGGCAAGGTCCATATTCCTGGAGTGGCCCCAAGGTGCCCCACCCAGTTTGAGGCCAAAAGCTTAACAAATAAATATCGCTTTAACGGCAGAGGCCCCTGGCTTGAGGTAAATTGGAATCAGACCAGTCCTATGGGGCTGGAGCAATCTGGTGGAGCCTGAAGTCTGCAGGCAGCCTGTGTGCCCAAGTGGGTGAGGTAAAGAGGATGATGAGGGAAATGCGGACTATTGCTACGTTTCCACCCACTGTTGCCCCACCCCCACCGTACACATGCTCACACACACACACACACACACACACGCGCGCCTGCCTCAGGGACTCATGTTTTTCAGGCCTGAGATGGGAAGGCTGCTCCAGACATAAGTCCAAGGAAGTATTTCCAGAAGACCCTGCGGGCCATGAGCAGTGGGGTCAAAGGTGAAACTGAGAGGGAGAGGGGGTCTTTTTCTCTCCCTTTTTTGAGAACTTAGCACTGCCCTGGCCCTTTGGCAAGTTAAGGACGGCATGGAACATTACTGGGGGCCAGTAGGCGGGACAGTGGTGGCGCTTGAGGTGGGGAAGCTGCCTTGGGAGACTGTGGGCACCCAAGGGGGCAGAGGAAGTGGGGAGGGAGAAGGGGAAGGGTGGTCAGCTTGTTACCATGTGTGATTCCCCCGCGGGCTCTCAGGTTGCCTTTGATCAACTTTGCCCACAGAGGGGGCACCAGACAGAAAATTCCACCCTGTCTTAGGCATGGAATTTATTTTTATCCTGTGGCAAAGCTGATTCTCCATTATCAAGAATCCCCTACCTCCCTCCCCAGGTCCCTTGGTCAGGCAGGTCTACTGCTGCCTGTATCGAGGTCTGCAGAGCCTGGGGACATCGTCCTGGGCAAGAGGTGAGGAACACCCCCCCACCCCACCCCCGAGCCCCTGTCCTCCTGTCTTTAACATGGACAAGAACCCCTTCATAGGTTTGTTGAAATAATTAAATGGGAAAAAGGTACATATATATATGTAAATGATATGTGTGCGTATATATTCACCATATATTTATGTACATACATCTGGGTACATATACCAGATATATGTATGTACGTACGCATGGTGCTTAGCACGGTACGGAGCACATGATAAGCAGTAAATATTACTATCAATAACTTCATCCTCATCCATGATGGCTTTCCACAGTGGTTGTTGGCTTTAGGTGGCAGGAGACTTGGAATAAATGGAATGTGGCAATAAAGTAAAGTGACTTTTACATCTATTAGCACTTACATATCCAGGTGAGCGTGGAACATGCAGGCACCCCAGAAGTCCCCATTAGGGGTCACAGAACAGGGCACATTACATTCTCCAGACGCCCATAAACACCAGTCTCAAATGGCACTCTGTACTCGAGCAACCGGTCCTTTCTCAGGCTGGTTCACTTTCCCGGATCTCCGTGACCGTTCCCAACACTTTCACTCTCTCCAAACCCCATTCCCCTTGTTTGCCCTCCCCTCTCCCGGGTAGCTGGGCCCCAGCTCCTCCTGAAGGGAAAATAGAAGCTGCCAGATGAGAACTTCACCTCCCCATCACATCCACACAAACCAGCTCGCATTGGCACCCCTCTCCCCTTCCTTTTACGGCTGAGGGGTGCCTCCTCTCCAGCTTAGCATCAATCCCTCCTTCTCTGCTCATTTGGATTCTAGCTCCTCCTGCCACCTCGGGAACCTGACCACATCTCCCTCTTGGTTATTTGACCCCTCTTTTTCAACTGGCTTTAAACACCCTCAAGTCTTTCTTAACAACAACAAAACAGAAACCAAAAAAAAAAAAAACCAAAACGCCAAACTTGACTTCTTTCTTCATCCCGCTGTCAGAAGCTGGCTCCCCACGTACCAACGTGGCCACCGATAAGACAGAGCCACTGGTCTTGCCGCAGCAGGCAGGCCGTCGGGAAGCGAGCGCAGCGTGGTTTTCAGAGCGGGGGACACAAGCTCAGGATGCGTCAAGAATCGGAAGTTTGCTTCGAGGTGAGTCTTCCAATGTGGGGATCTAGGACTGGGTCACAAGCACCACACCACAGCCCAGGGTTGGTGGGGACAGCAGGGGAAGGACTCAAAGCACCTTCAGGCTCAAGAGTTGAAGGGTCTTTGGGGACGTTTCTGTAGTAAACAATCGCACTATTTGCTTGGAGGACAGTCCCCGAAGAGTAAAGAAATGCTAATGAAGACAGTAGAATAGCCACCTCGGCTAACTGGGCGTCAGGGGTGGTTTCACTTTTCTGTGTCCAGGCTTAGTGTGGGCTAGACGGTTTTGGTTCTCAGCTTTGAGCTCCAGCCCTAGCTCCTTCCTCCCACAACTCAACTCATCAAGAATTTTCTCTGCTTGCTGATGCCATCTTCTCACCTCCTTCTCACTCCTCCGCCCTCCAGCCTGACCTCAAGCCCCTTCTACAACAGTGCTCATCCTCAGCGACCGTCCCGTCTTTCAATCCGGTTGATACTTTGCAAGCCTCGTCACACACGGCCTCTCAGGGCCTGGGTCTCCTGCTCCTTGGGGCCCATGAGCCTACGCTCCCCGGGAGTCCTGCTACCTCTCTCACACCATTCTTTCTCTTCTTTGCAGACTCATTCTAGTCTATCCAGGTATTAAACATGATCGTCCCCCCAGGCCTGGGCCTGGGGCTTCCCTCCTCCCTGTAGGCTTGCTCCCGCGGCAATGCCATGTCTTCGTGTAGCCCCAGCTACCATCTATGCACACATTTAGAAACGTCCGTCTCCAGCCCGACCTGCCTTTGGAGCTCGAGGTCTACATGACATCTCCTCTGACTGTCTCCAAGCCTTTGCAGGCCAAAATCTCTGTAGAAGTGAAGTTAGCACCGTGACAGACCAACCCCCGAATTTCAGGGGCTTAGCATAGTAAAAGCTTACGCCTCTCCAGTACACCAGTCCAGACCGGAGTTCCTGCTCCGCTGGTTGCTTCTCTCACACGGTGAATCAAAGGTCCCGGTTCCTCCCACCGGCTGGCTCTGCCACCTGCTGTATCCTCAGAGTCCTCTGCATTTATCCAGCGGGTAGTGAGGGAGGAACGAAATGCTTTCCCTCTGCCCTCCTAGATTTAATAGCTGGGTCTATGAAACAAACGGACAACAGGCAGATTAATAGGAGAAAACTATACAAATGCATTCATTTTTACTATTACATGCCTGTGGGCATCACGGGGAAAAAACAAAGTGAATACCAGCCCCCCAACAAAGTGGGGAGAGGAAGGTGGGGGAGGTAAAGACAATCCAGGAAAGAGGAAATGATTTTTAGGAAGGACGAGGGGGGACAGTGTGTGACGAAGCTTGTCTCGCTGGCTTCCAGTCCCCCCTCCTGCAGTGAGATTCAGTCTTCCCCGTTGATGAAACTCCCCAGGAGGGGAATCTATGACAAACCGAGCTCCTTTTGGAAGATCCGGCTTCAGGCAGGTAGGGAGAGTGCATTTGTTGTTTTTCTAGTGCCTTCAGCTCAAAGTAACCAGTATGCCAAAGGGGCACATATTGGGGTGACATGTCCTGAACTCCTTAGGGAGGGAGAAGGGGAGTGTAAAAGCCACACCTGAGTTTTTTGTTTTTTTAAGATTTTATTTATTTATTTGACAGAGAGAGAGACACAGCGAGAGAGGGAACACAAGCAGGGGGAGTGGGAGAGAGAGAAGCAGGCTTCCTGCGGAGCAGGGAGCCCGACGCGGGGCTCGATCCCAGGACCCTGGGATCATGACCCGAGCCGAAGGCAGTCGCTTAACCAACTGAGCCACCCAGGCGCCCCGCCACACCTGAGTTTTAAAAGCTTTGGCCTGGGAAATGATATCGCTTCGACTCATGTTCCACTGACAGACAAAATCAGTCATGTGATATTATGGGTTGGATTGTTGCCTACCATCCCCCCAAAAAGATATGTTCAAATCCTAAGGACAAGTACCTATGCATATAACCTTATTTGGAAATAGAGTCTTTGTAGATATAATCCAGTTATGATGAGATCACATTGACTTAGGGTGGGTCCTAATCACGTGACTGGTGCCCTTACAAGATGTTAGAAAGTTGAGCATGCAGATATTCATAGAGAGCAGGTGACCATGTGAAGACGCTGAGACACAGGAGAGAATGCTCTGTGAAGACAGGGGCAGAGATTGGAATGATCCCTCTGCAAACCAAGGGACACCAAGAATTGCCAGCCACCATCAGAAGCTGAGAGAGAACTATGGAACGGATTTTCTCTCAGAGCCTCTAGAAAGAACTGACCCAGGCACCACCTCCATTTTGGACTTCCAGGCTCCAGAACTATGAGAGAATAAATGCATGTCAAGTCATTCAGTTTGTGGTACTTTGTTACTGCAGCCAAAGAAAACCAATACACTTGGCCACACCTGGATAGGAAAGGAAACGTAGTGCCACATTTCGGTGAAAACTCCATCCTACTGAACGGCTTCTGTCACAAGATGGAAGACTGAACTCACCCTCTTCCCTCCCACTCCTGGACCTCTTTGGGTGCTTCTTACCTTAGTATGGGCACCGCCCTCCTTGTAGTTGTCCAGGCTAGAAACTTGGGTTCAACCATGACCTCTCCTTCTTCCTCTCCTCCCATATCCATTACCAAGTCCTAAATATCTCTGGGGTCTATTACCACCCACTCCCCAAGCTGACACCCCATGTCCTGATCACTAAAGAAGACTCCTGACTGGTCGGCCTTTGCCCATGCTTACTTCTTGCTGAGCTTCCCCTGAGACTCCTGCCTGAATTTAGTTTCCAAATCTCAAATCTGCTTACGTCATGATCCTATTTAAATGCGTTAAAGTTGTTATATTGTCCAGAGGATAAAGATAAATTCCTTGTGGTCAACAAGGCCCTTCATAGTCCAGTTGTGACGGTTCATTTGATGTGTCCACTTGACTGGGCCATAAAGTGCCCAGACATTTGGCCAAACATTATTCTAGGTGTGTCTGTGAGGGTGTTTCTGGATGAGATCAATATTTGAATTGGTAGACTAAGGCAGGTTGCCCTTTCTAATGGTGCTGGGTTTCATCCAATCAATTGAAGACCTGAATAGAACAAAAAGGCTGAGTAAGAGGGAAATCCTCCTGCCTGATAGTCTGAGCTGGGACACTGATCTTTCTGCCTTCAGACTCAAATGGAAAGATCCACTCTTCTTAGGTCTTGAGCCTGGTAGCTTTCAGACTAGAGCTTACACCTTTGGCTCTCCTGGTGTCCAGCTTTCTGACTGCATATCTGGGGACTTCTCAGCCTCCACAGGCATATAAGCCAGCCTATCTATCTATCTATCTATCTATCTATCTATCTATCTATCTACCTATCTATCTACCTATCTATCTATCTACCTACCTCCCTCTCCATCCTTCCTCTTGGTTCTGTTCCTCTGGAGAACCCTGACTAATACATTGAATCTATCTATCTCTCTGGTCTGGTCCAGAACCACACCCCACAAGGCCTCCTGATGTTGGGGCTTTGCATGTGCTCTCCCTCCTAGAAAATCTCTTTCTTCTCGTCTTGTCCGTTTTACTGCTATTCGTTTTTCCTATCTTGGGTCAAGAATCACTTCTTCCCTAATTTCCTTGACCTGGTCAGAGCTCTCAACTAGATGCTCATTAACACACCATGAGCCCCTCCACTGTAGGACTCGTCAAAGTTATGCAGCCATTTGACCGTCTGTCTTTCCTATAGCCTGTAAGCTTCAGCAAGATAGTCACCATGTCTGTAGTAACTACCCCTCACTACTTGGCCTCAGCACCTAGCACAGTGCCTGGCCAGAAGAATGTGTGGATTGAGTTTTGCCACCATTTTGGGGGAGTATCTACTTGGAACACATGCCAGGCATGATCCAGAGCCGTGATAGACAGTTATCCCTGTCCTGGGTTGGGAAAGGGGGAAGAGACAGGTGAAGAATAGATGGCTTCCATGCAGGGGTTTCTCTATGGGGACCTGTCACCTCCACCACAAGGGCAGCCAGTCAGAATGGAGGCAGAAGGGAAGCTGGGGGCAAGTCAAGACAGATTCCACACAATTGCTCCAAGGACACTGGCATCCCTCAGAGCATCACTGGAACAAATCTTCTGGAATTAACCATTTTCTCTCTTTAAGGCTTGTTATGGACTGGATTGTTGTGTCCCCGCAAAGTTCATATATTGAAACCCAAACCCCAGTGCAATGGTATTTAGAGATGGAGCCTTTGAGGGTAACTGGGTCATGAAGGTGGAGCCCCCATGAGGGGACTAGTGCCCTTATTAAGAAGAAACAAAAGAGAGGCGCCTGGGTGGCTCAGTCAGTTAAGCCTCCAACTCTTGATTTCAGCTCAGGTCATGATCTCAGGGTCGTGAGATGGGGCCGTATGTCGGGCTCCGTGCTGAACGCTGAGGGTGGAGCCTGCTTGAGATTCTCCCTCTCCCTTTGCCCCTCCCCACCTTCCCCTCACCTGCACACTCTCTCTTTCAAAAAAACAAAAACAAACAAACAACCCCACAAGAAAACTTGCGCCTCTCTTTGGTCTCTGCCACGTGAAGATACAATAAGAAGATGAGGGCCTCACCAGCCGCCACCTCGGCAGGTGCCTTGATCTTGGACTTCCCCGCCCCCAGACCTGAGAAAGAAACGTTTGTGGTTCAAGCCACCCAGGCTGTGGCATTTTTGTTATAGCAGACAAAGCAGACTAAGACAAAGCTGGATTTTATTTCTTGAAAATGCCAGAAGTCGTTTGGTGCCCAAAGTGACTGGAATAGGTGATGGCTCAGTAAATGATAGTATTTCAGGTCAAAATGGAGGGGAAGGGGTGTCTTATGGAGACTGATTTCTTTCTTTCTTTTTTTTTAACATTTTATTTATTTATTTGACAGAGTGACACAGCGAGAGAGGGAACACAAGCAGGGGGAGTGGGAGAGGGAGAAGCAGGCTTCCCGCAGAGCAGGGACTCCGATGTGGGGCTCGATCCCAGGAGACCCGGACCACGACCCGAGCCGAAGGCAGACGTTTACGATTGAGCCACCCAGGCGTCCAAAGAGACTGACTTCTTATCCCACTTACAAACTGGCCCCCAAGGCCAGACCTGGACGAGGCATCCCCCACGTGCTTTCTCCCAGGACCTGCTGCTACGGGGCGAGTTATATATAATATAATACATAAAATAAAATATATTTTATATTCATTATCTGCTGTGCCCCTCACCACTTCCTGAGAGAAAAAGCCGGAGTCAACCCCATTTTACAGCTAAGGTCCAAAGCTCGGGAAGTTTCCCGCCCTGGCCCGGCTCACTCGCTGGTGACCGGCCAAGAGCACCTGTTACGAGAACTTGACCCTCTGACATCAGAGCCTTTCTTTGAACCACTCTTGTGCACTGCGAACCAAGTGACTGCTTGAGCGGGCAGTGGTTTATTTAAATAAGGTTTAGAATCAGTATTAAAACAATAGCCTCATTATATTTCACTAGGGGAGATAAAGCACGTGAAAGTGCTATGCTGTTAATTACTGTAATATATATACGCGTGCACACACACAGAGACAATGCAAGGGAAACATGCTTTCCAGATCCGTGCTACTAAAAATACTAAAAATGTGACTTGCGGCCCAGCAACACTGTCCCTAGAATCTTGAGTGCCCTCCTCGACCTAACGACTCAGCATTTGCTTTTTATTTATATTTATTTTTTTTAAGATTTTATTTATTTATTTGAGAGAGAGAGTGAGAGAGAGAGCACAAGAGGGGGGAAGCGGGAGAGGGAGAAGCAGACTCCCTGCTGAGCAGGGAGCCCGATGAGGGACTCGATCCCGGGACTCCAGGATCATGACCTGAGCTGAAGGCAGTCGCTTAACCAACTGAGCCACCCAGGCGCCCTCAGCATTTGCTTTTTTTTTTTTTTTAAAGATTTTATTTATTTATTTGAGAGGGAGAATGAGATAGAGAGCACATGAGAGGGGGGAGGGTCAGAGGGAGAAGCAGACTCCCCGCTGAGCAGGGAGCCCGATGCGGGACTCGATCCCGGGACTCCAGGATCATGACCTGAGCCGAAGGCAGTCGCTTAACCAACTGAGCCACCCAGGCACCCTCAGCATTTGCTTTTTAACAAGCTCACATGCGTACTGAAGCTTGAGAAGCCCTGCCAGCGTCAGCCTGGCCTTCCATCTGTTACTTGCGGCGACCCCTCACACTAACAGCTATGACTCTCAAACTTCTGAATGTAGAAGAACCACTGGGGAACTTGCTGCAAATATGGATTCCGGCATCTCGCTCCCAGAGATTCTAGAATTCCCAGACTTTTTCATTTCTAAAAGGCATGCCAGGTGATTCTGATGCATCTGGTCCTACTAGGACACCGTACTTTGACAAGCACTCATCAGATCTTTAGTTTCCCAGCAGAAAATGTGTCCTTAATAGTAACTGGGCTCTGGAAACTTCTTTTGGCAACAACAGAAGCCCAGATCTTGTCTTAATTGGAACTGAGAGAACTGTTTCAGTTTGGGAAAGTCTAGATAATAAATACCTAATTCTCCTCCTCCTCTGCCTCTCCATTCGTGTCTGATTCCTATTCAGTTCTCAGCAGCTGGGACTCATGCTTTGATTTAGAACTGGGGTAGAGACTTTTTGAGAGTCATCTTAATCATTCTGCAAAAATAAAAAGCTTGCGCTGGCTCTTTCAGGATGGTTGAGTTGGCACACCTTTTTAGATCACCTGGGGAGACCAAATTGCTGTGGCACGTGAGCTCTGGGAATCCTGCAGAGCAAATAAGCTCTCTCAAAAGTGAGATCTCAGGGACTCCAATGACCAGACAGCTCCAGAAAAGCCCCATCGCCAAAAGGTGATTGGGAATTAAAGGGAATTCCCAAACTTGGGATGGCCAGAGGTTTCGGCGAAATTGACACTGTGGGACATTCGGTGTGCTTAGAGAGGTTATCTGTGTTCAGTGGCTGTGAGGTGGGGGTGTGTACGAAGATGCCGAGGAAGCCTGGAGAGGGAGAGGGGGGCTGTGTGACAGGTCTGGAAGCAGGAGGCCCCTTGCTGGGCCAGAGGACAGATGGCAGCCAAGGATCAGAGGGAGCTTTGAGGCTCGGGTGGGGCAGGAGATCCCAGATGTGAAGCAGAGGTGCAGCTAGACAGGAAGGAGGAAAAGCAGGCTATGGGTTGACTGCAGGGTGTGGGGGAGTCTGGGGAGCTTGTGACAAAGCCAACTGGGGGATGAGCCAGTGAGGAAAGTGACTGCGTTGCGAAGACTGGGAAGCAAAGGAGTGTCCTGGTAGGGAAGAGGAAAGCAACTCCCTCCTTCCTCCCTTCCATCAGTCCTTCCTTCCTCCCTCCTCCTTTCCTTCCCTCCCCTCGCCTTCCCTTCTTTTAGTATATGTGCTGCCTGGAAAGCAAACCCTTTCTGAGAGCAGAAGACTAGGGGCTGGAAGTGGGCTGGGGTAGAAAGAACACAGAACAATCTAGGACCTCAGGAGACCCACCTGGGAGCTGACAGCAGGGCTGGGTGAAGGGCAGGAAGCATCCCATCCAAAGAGCCTGTTTGCATTTGGAGCTGACACGTGTAGAAGCTGAGTGGACGTGTGAATGGCCTTGGCTTGGTGGCATGTCGTGTCCACTCTGAGTGTTCTGGGCTGGACTGTGTGCCCCCTGAAGTCCTGTGTGGCCCTAACCCCCAGAGGTCAGAAGGTCACCCTGTTTGGAGACGGGGCCTTTAAAGAGGCAGGGAAGGGTCAATGAGGCCCATCCGGGAGAGAGCTCATCCAGTCTGCTGTCCTTATAAGAAGAGGGAATCCACGGGCGCCTGGGTGGCTCAGTTGGTTAAGCGACTGCCTTCGGCTCGGGTCATGATCCGGAGTCCCGGGATCGAGTCCCGCATCGGGCTCCCTGCTCAGCGGGGAGTCTGCTTCTCCCTCTGACCCTCCCCCCTCTCATGCTCTCTCTCTCTCTATCTCATTCTCTCTCTCAAATAAATAAATAAAATCTTAAAAAAAAAAAAAAAAAAAAGAGGGAATCCACACCCCCAAAGAGAAGCCAGGGATGCGCAGGTGCAAAGAAAAGGAAGATGAGGCAGCAGGAGAGACCCCAGAGGAAGCCAGCCCTGCCGACACCTCCCTCTTGGGCTTCCAGCCTCCAAAACGGTGAGCAACAGGCTGTCTGTTGTTGCGGGGCTGGGGGGCTGGGGCTGCATGGAATGCACCTGCGACATTCCGTGTGTCCTGGGGCGATCTGCTGGGCAGCAGGAGGGCGGAGAGGGAGGAGTGGGGGACGGCAATGAAGGCTGAGAAGGCAGCCCCTCTTCCCGCGGGGGGTGTTGTGATGAGTACTGGCTGCGGAGTCGTTCACTAGGGGGGGCCCGGGTTCTTCAGGTGAGCGTTGGCACCTGGGCTCTGTGCAGACGCAGCTGCGGGGCTGAGGGGCAGGAGGTCCCATGCTCTAGGCCGTTTGTCACAACGCCCTTCCCCAGACTGGGGGGTGGGGGGTTCCCAGACTAGCTGCTCGAAGCTTCCTGGTCTTGCACGTGGGAAGCCTCTGGGAGGGAGCGGATGAGGGGGAGAGAAGCCACCAGGCAGCCCCACCTGGCAGGGGGACCCCTACAAGGACAGCGGTGCAGGTGAGTCTGGCCGGAGCCGTGGAACTCCCACTTTGTGGTGGGGGCTGCGGGCGGGGCGGGGAGCAGACAGGCGGGCCCCCTGGTCTCCCCGGGATCCTGCAGTCAGCACTTGGGGGTCCTTTGGGCTAAAGGCAGCGGCAAGGGCCCGCAGGTGTGGGAGCTGCCTCCTCGCCGCGGCCGTCACCATGGTCCGCCGGCTCTCGGGTCCCTGAGGGGCGGCCGGCACCTCTGCGCACCCAGCCGCGGGGACAGGACAGAGGAGCGCCTCCCGGGGTGCGAGTCACGGGCGGGGGGTACGTGAGTGAAATACCACAGCCTCCGCCTGGAAAGGTGGAATTCTCAGGGCCAGCTCGGGCTGACAGCAGGTGACCGGGGCCGGGCAGACAGGATCGCAGAGTCGATGCCCCCCAGCCCTGTCCCCCACTGCGCTGGCACCTGCCTCACGTGATTGTGTGCCAGTGGATGGTTTCTGGGTCCTGAGAAAATGACGGCAAATGCTGTGTGTGTGTGTTTGTGTGTGTATGTGTGTGTGTGTAAGCACATCTGTGTGTCTGAGTGCGTAGAGGCAGGAGGGGCCTCTGGTCCCGGTGGGGGACCCGTCTGGCCTGGCCGACAGGAGGAGTGGGCTCAGCTGCTGGCCTCGGGTGGGCGAGCAGGTGCCCAGGCCGCCCCCGCAGGGCTGTGCTCCGTGTGTCTCCTCCGGAGTGAGATGGCGGAGGCACCCACTCGGCCAGGAGAGCAGTGTGGGGGGCTCTGCCTCATCGACAACCATGTAGCTCCCCGCTGCTCCTCACCCCAGCCGTCCTAGGGCTCGGGGCAATAGGCTGCTCACCAACAGTTATTTCTGTTCTCTTTATACCTTTACACAACGGCCTGGCCCCTTGGGCCTCCTGGAGTTGGACTCTTAAAAACCTAGGATGTCCTGCCTGGGCTGGAATCCGTCGTGTCCCATCAGGCCCGAGGGGTACCTTTGGGAACACCGACGCAGTGCCCCCCACCTCACCCCACTGCACCCCAACAGGACTAGGGCTGGGCTGGTGGGTGGGGTCTGGAACGCACGGTTTTTACAAAAATGATTTGAAGTGAGTGCTTCTGGCAGAAGATGCCATCAGCCTCCCCATTGGACCCACTGGATTTTTTTCTCTTTTTGGTCAACTTTTAGGATTGATCAAAGCCCCTCAGAGGGGAACGACCAAGAACTTTAGGGTTCCAAAGGAATGTCCATTTGGTGGGGAGGGGGCCTGGATACCACCAGCACCTTGAGGAAGGCTGTTTTTATGGTCGGATTCATTGTAGCCAAACTGCCTTTTTTTTTTTTTAACAGCCTGTGATCTTCTTGACTGTTCTCACTCATTCTTGATAGTTTTGTGGGACAATTTCCACTGTTTGTTTCCAGAATGATTTGGAAATCTAGAATGCTTGTTTTTCCAATTGCTCATGCTGATGCAACACCGTGTTCTGGTCCGCCAGCTGGGTGTGCCAGGTGGGGTGGGCCCTTGCAAAGGGGGGTGGCGATTACAGTGAGTTCAGTGAAGAAGCGACTTACGGAGGTGTGGACAGGTGAGGGGACCAAGGAGGCCGAGAGGCCTCAGGACTAGCAGGGTCCCTTGGGTGGGTTGGGGTTGGGCTGTGGGACCACAGAGCTGGACCTCCTTCTCCTGCTCTTATTCACCCTTTGGCAGAGCCGAAGCGGCAGCTGGAGGGCAAGGGAGCTTGGGTGGCGTGGTCCGTGGGGTCCGAGCTGAGCAAGACCAGAGCAGAGACCTGATTGATCATTCACCCCATGGGGTGATTGTTTTGCGATGATGGCTCATTAGACTTGACTAACATTTATTTGGTGAGTTCTGTGCACCACGCATGGTGCTGAGTGCTTGCGGATATGGTGGTGGATACAGTTCCTGTCCTGCTGAGCTCTGTGGTCGAGAGTAGCAGTTAATGACCGTGGAAGTGTCTCTCTGCCCATCTGACGAGGCCTGTGTTCTGCAGGGACATTTGGGGGCTGAGGCGTGACGTCTCAAGCAGCTCATAATCCCTAAGCCGTTCTCTGGACTCCACTGTGCTGTGGCCTTTCCTGCCAACGGACTGCCTGCCGGATGTGTACTTGGCCGCGTCGCAGAGAAGAACGAGTGTGCATTTGCTGGTCACGTACTGATGGAGGACTAGCAGCCAGGGAACGTGCAGTCATGGAGCAAAGGGAGTCTGTGATCTCTAGAACACACTGGAAAACCCATACGTCGATGATGAGAACCTGCTGGGACGAATGTTGGCAGCCACTAACACTGGAGTGTTTCACGTGTGATCTTCCACTTCGTTCCAAAAGCCCCTTAGCTCACTTGTGGCAGAAGCATGTTTTCCAAAAAGCCCGTGTTCTCCCAAGGCCCAGAAGTGTGTCCCACATCTGCTGTGAAGGCTGCTCGGATCCCAGAGGTCGAAGCTGTGGACTTCGCAGCTCCCGATCCCTTCCTCCTTCTGCACAGAAAGGGCCGGTGGCTGCATGTGGGTGGGGAGAGGGCCCCAGCCAACCCGAGGGGCCATCTGGGCAGCAGGTCAAGGGGGACAGCTGAGGTCAGCCTGGCTCCGGCCTTCCACAGTCTTAGCTTCTCTGGGGTGACCCACAGCTTGAGGCAGGAGGGCTGGTTGCGCTTTGGAATCAGACCTGGATTTGAATCCTACCTTTCCTACTTTATAACTGTGAGCTCTTAGGAAAGTGTTTTTCAGAGCCTGTGTCTTTGGCTGTCAGGTGGGAGCAGGATCCGTAACTTTCCGGTTTCGGAGATACGTAAGAACCTGTGTGCGGAGGGCCTGTAGTCTGGGATCTGCTCGGTGAGGATGCCATCCTCCCCGCTCTGCCGGCGATGTCCAAGGGCTTCTCTGCCTATCACAGTTCGTGTTTCTGGCTTCTCATAGAGCCGTCCGGGTGCCTTGGTAAGGCGTCCTGATTTCAACCTGCCAATCTCTTCGGTATTTACTCCCAGGGCCGAACGATGGCTCTAACTTGGCCTGCCTCGCCATCGTGTGCCAGGCTGACTCCTGAACAGCAGTTACCAGCCTGCCGCCTTGGACGCATCCACTCCAGCCCCATCTGGAGAATCTGGCCTGCCCTGCGCTTCCCTTTCGAGGTTCTGCATTCAGAGTTCCCTCTGGAGATTAGTTATCATGGCACCTGGGAAAGATGCCTTCTACCCCAGCCCCCCAGTGGTCCCTCCTCAACATCTGGAAGCCCTTCAGGGACAGGCCCTTGGGGTTCCTGTTGTCACCCACAGAACCTAACATAAGACCTATTTAAAAATGGTAGGTGGACCCCAACGAAAAAGCAAAATGGGAGGGCTGCTCATTCGTGAGGTCTCCAACGTCATGAGCGTGCAGCCCTCAGCCCTGGTCCCCCACCGACTACAACTCTCCACCCCGGGCCCGGCGCCTGGCACACAGGCCTCATCTGAACAGCGACCCCAGTCAACCCTGGATGAGGCTGTCTGCTGTGCACCAGCTCTGATTTGCAATACGTGAGCTGTAGCTCAGTCCAGTTTAAATCTTTCTGGCCAGGTGCATCCAGCTAGTGTTAGAGGCAGGGCTGTATAATCTGACGTCAAAACTACCTCAGAGACTGGTGCGATTTTTTTTTTTTGTATTAAAAACCATTTAGTGTTGGGTGCCTGGGTGGCTCAGTTGGTTAAGCGACTGCCTTCGGCTCAGGTCATGATCCTGGAGTCCCGGGATCGAGTCCCGCATCGGGCTCCCTGCTCGGCGGGGAGTCTGCTTCTCCCTCTGACCCTCCCCCCTCTCATGCTCTATCTCATTCTCTCTCTCAAATAAATCTTTAAAAAAAAAAAAACCATTTAGTGTTTCTGCATTTCTATTTTAGACTTTTTTTTTTTGACAACTTTATTCCTTGTGCTTATTCAGAGGAACAGTGCCTCTAAGATTTTAATGTACCCAAGTCTTCACGAAAGCTTAAGATGCAGAGTCTGCATTGGTAACAAGCCCCCAGGTGCCACACTCAGTGGCGCGACGGCGGCAGGTGACGGCAGAGGCCAGCGCCATACTCGCCAGGGGTGTTTTCATGCCGTGCCCAGCCAGGTCTGCAGACTTTCTGGAATATCTGTTTAGAAGTCTGCATGGTCCCGTATGAGGTGGGGGCCCTGAGCTAGCCCCCTCTCATGCTGCAATGAGTGCCTCTGGCAGTAAGACCGCTCCTCTCATGGATTCTTTTCTTTTATAGCTTTTCCCTCAGTCGTGCCGCACAGCTGCCCTCCTGGAAGACGCCTTTTAAGTTGGTGTTAACGGCATGTGACTCAGGATTTATAGTCGTCACATTGCCTCCTTTCCCAGGCCGCCAGCGCTCCTACCTGGCCATGCTGTGACCTGGCCAGCGCCGTCCTTAACCAGAGGGTCCTCAGAGCCCCCCTCCCCGGAAGAGGAACTCAGGGCACCCCCCTCACAAGCCCTCTTTCTCTGAAGAACTTTCCCCAGCAATGGGCCGATACTTGATTAACAGGTAACAGGACTACCTGGCTCAAATGTTCTCCAGCAGAGGCAAGGCGGCCTCAGGCTATGATGAGTTATGGAGGCAGCCGGAGGGAGAGGCCCAAGGGAGAGGCCAGCCGTTCAGGCCTGAACCGGAAAGGTCAGAAACAATTCGGCAGCATGGGCTGTCAACAGTTTTATTTTTTGCTGTTGGGGGAATGAAGGGGACAGGACAGAGTAACGAGGAGGGAAGACTCTCCAGTGTCGCCTGCTCCCACATCAGCAGGGCAGGGCCTGTGGGAACGGAGTGGGTTATGTGCACTAGGGGACCACCCCAAAATGGGCCAGCTGGGTGAAGACCACAGAAATTGTAGCAGGGGAGTTTTTAAGTTAAAAACAAGGGGGGGAAAAACACAAAGAAAACGAATAGCTTTGCATTTGGTGTGTTTCCTGTGTCCACTGAGGTCTGCCTGGGGGAAACGGAGGGCAAATAGTGACCTCCGCTGTCACTGGGCTGGCCCAGGCTCAGGCCCCGGGGGCAGCTACTCCAGGGGCGGGGGGAACAGACCCCTCCCGGGCGGGGCCCCTGCTCGGGGACAGAGCGGCTGCGAGAGGCTGTTGGCTCGGCTGGTGTCCATCTCTGATGAAGAGGCAAGGCTGACTAGAGAGAAGCCCAGGCTGGGGCACTGAGCCAGGCCGAGCAGCTAGTGTGGCCCTGTGGGGCCCGCGGCTGGGCGGGGCTCCCCCAGACCTGTGTACGCGGGGAGAGCTGGAGAGGCTTCAGGGCAGCTCTGCAGACTTGGGGCTGGCAAAGGGCTGAACTGCCCCTTGTGGTGGAGGGTGAAAGGGCAGGGCCTCAAGGTCTTCTAGAACAGTCCCCCAAGTGGTCGCTGCCTCTCCATATAGGCACAGCCTCCCTGACTCCTTGTCAAAGGCCCAGGCTGGAGTGGTGTCTGGGACGCACGTCTCTGGGGCGCCTCTGGTGGTGGGTGACCTTCGTCCCCTACCCTCGGTCTCCTCCTCCCCTACCTTTAGAAAGCTCATGTCAAGGACAAGCAAAAGAAGCCTCTTGACAAAAATCTTTCATTCTTAGACCCCTCCCCACTCCACAGGCCAAAATAGTTTAAAATGAAGTCTTAAAAAAAAAAAAATGGACCAACTTCCTAAATTCATCTTGTAAATGCTGAAAACCAAACAGCCCCAAATTCAAGAACACTAGCCTGATTTTAAGACCCAGGAAAGACCCTGGTGTCATGTGTCACCCATCAGCCGTCCCCCTGAACTTGGCAGGACATCCGAGGCAGGCGGACGGTGGGGAGCTCTGTGGGCAGTTTCTAGATGCCAGTGGCCTTGCTCCTCAGAAAGGCTTTCCTCTGCCAGGGACTCACCAGGGAGCCGAGCAGGCTGCGAACCTGGGGCGGCTCATCAGAGCGCGGCAAATGACAGACACCAGGAGGGGAAAAGGGCATGTTCAGTTCAGGCGCTGGAGACGCTCTGAACACCTCGTGCTTCATTCCCCATTTGCCTCATCCGCAGGAGGCAGGGACCCCTTAACGGTTAGTTGATTTAGAGGTTGCGTTCATCGTAGCCCCTGACAAAATCATGGTCTTACAACTGAATCTAGCCAAGGAAATTGGTTAGCACAGTATTTAGTACTAAAATCAGTTAAATCTAGGACTCCGGAGAAAGGGGAGTGTTCTGCTCGCTCCCCAGCTGTTTCATAAATTCCTCCATCCTGTGCGACTGTCAGATTCTTCCTAGCTCTGCTAAGTAAAGCTGTGCTCGGCCCCCCCGGCACCCCTTCCCTGGGGGGATGTGAGCAGCTCCACAGCCATGTGCAAGTGGGGACGGTGGCAGATGGCTCAGTAATGCAGGGAAGGGGCAACCAGAGCCACACGGGTGTCTACACATACGCACACATGTGTACAGAAACAAAGTCTTTTAATTCTCTTTTTTACACGGCCCCAGGCCGCCTCCTGTCAGGAGCACCCCAGCAGGCCCCCCTCTTGTAGCTGCGAGGGGCTGGCTGTGGCGACGGCCCTCAGCACGGTCGTCCCGGCCAGCTGACCTTCTGCACAGACCGCTGTGCGGGCCGGTGAGCAGCCCCTGCCTCTGCAGCTGACCGAACCCCGCTCCGGATGCGGTGTGTCCCAGCTGGCAGAAGCCTCCAACCAGCAATCATGCAGCTTACAGCTACTCCGGATTTTTAGAAAATATTTATACAGAGCGAGCACAATCAATGTGCTTATTACGCACTCTAACGTAGAGTACAGGAATACACACCACGGAGCACAGCCCCAGCCGGCTCCAGAGCGGGCAAAGTGCGAAGGTCAAAGGTCAGCACGCAACCAGGCGGCGGGAAGATACGGAGCACGCCGGCCACGCCTTTCCACGTGACCTGTCCCACACCGAGAACTCGTCCTTTGTCCCGTTGGTGGTAGGAGCAGTAACCGAAACTACGGCATTTTCTATGGGCAGAGGATGTCAGACCATCTGTTACGGAGAGAGTGAGGATGACGGGACCCAGAGATTATCTAGAACTAACTGCCGAAGGTCAGGTTGGCTCAGGACCCCCAGGCAGAGGTCTGCTCTCTGGTGGCTGGGACTGGCTTTGGGGGCCGAGGACGGCTGACACGGAATCTCTCAGACACACACATTCTCCCCCTCACACACCCCGGGTTGGGGGGGGGGGTGCGTGGGAGTGCACTTCCAAGAGCGGACACAAAAATAGATTGGCACACTCTCTTGACACAGTGAGGGTATCTTTTAAAAGCTCCTCCCCAGCTGCTGCAAATTCTCTTCCCCACTCTGCTCTAGAACTTTGCACTCCTAAGCTGGATCAGGTCTGGAGGGGAGGCCCCGGACCACGCTTGCGAGGTTTGTATGTACCCAGGAAGAACACCAGCGTGGGGACAGCTGGGAAGTCTTGCCTGGGGAAAGCCAAAAGGCCTTCTGCCACCTTCCACACAGGTCTCCCCTTCCCCTGCTGCATAATAAACCGCTCACGGCTCATGCCGGCTCACCAGACCAGGACTCCCTGAAAAGTTTCCGGTACTGCTTCTACTCAAAAACATGTTGAGAGGAAAAAAGGTTGGTATGCCAAGTTCTGTTTTTGCATTTCCAGTAGTAAGTGCTATTCCACAAGCTCCGAGGAAGTGGTCCGTAGCCCTCCTTCGGGCCTGTGCTAGGAGCTCTGGATTAGGCGTCTGTAATGGGGCATGACTTCATGCTCCGGCAGATGAAGAGCAAACTCCAAGGCCACTAACACTGGGAATTCAAAGGCAATCAGTTCTCGTCTATTTAGCCGGAACTTCTCTTCCAGTTTCTGCAACAGAATGAAAGGAATTAAGAGCATTTTAGCTTTGAAATCAAAATCTGAGGCTTTCTGCATGGGTACGCTCTCTATCCACCTGGCAATGACTGTTTACGGAGAAACCCCTTGGGGGCAAGACTGCGGAGGAAGAAAGGGGAGCATCCTAGTGGAGAAGGAACTGAACCACCCCAAGGACGCACGGTCTGCCAGGAGCCTGACATACAGCCCATGACTTCATTTCATCTCTCAATAATCATGCAAGGTCAATGCTATATTTATGTCCACTTTACAGAGGCGAGAAAACAGGGTCAAGAGGGTAAGAAGTTTGTCTAAGGGGACACGCACAGTTAACTACAACGCTGAACTCCAAACTCAACCAGGATTCAAACTCCACCTGTTACCGTAGATGATTCAGGTGTGGAGGGAAGACGAGAAAGATCACAAATCCTCTACAACAGTAGTAACTACGTGGTAGGTTCAGGATTGGGGCAGCTGATGATGCAGCTTGGGGCTTTCATCTCACACGCAAGGACCCAGACCTGCTGCAATCACCCGCCTTTCAGGCCGTCGTCCAGCTGGGGCCTGTGGGTGCGAAGGGCCTGAGCATGCAGCTGTGCTCAGCTCACACCCGGGGCCTCCCCTCCTGCACAGCCTCTCGTTCCACCCAGCGGTGGGGGCTGCGGGAGCAGAAAGGAAGGAGAACGGGGCGGGGGGGTAGGGAAGGCCTTGTTTTTGCCAGGGTGCATTCTGCTTTGGCTTAATAAAAACAACAAGGACCACAAAACTCACCGGCAGAGCCGTCAGTGGCCACGTTCTGATTACAACTGGAGGAGACCTTGCATCAGCCTCATGGCTCCTGCCAATGTCAGACCATGGCCTGCAGGCTCCGCGTGGCCACTACAGACTTTCGCCGGATGGTCCATTACTCGACACCAATAAATGTGCGTAACACCACACTCGTAAAGATTAGTTCAGTGAATATCTATGTAAATCTGTTGATTCTCAGCTTTGATTTGGTAACCAAAGATCCCTTCCATGTTCCTAAAAGTATATACTATACAAGTTAGACGATTATGCGCCATTTCTTAAAAGCAGTAAAGCACTGACTTAAAGAACATTTTCTTCCATCTAGGGACGAATGGATAAGCAAACTGTGGCATATACATCCAGTGAGGTATTATTCAGCCTTAAAAAGGAAGGAAATTCTGACACCTGTTACAACATGGATGGATCTTGAAGACATAATGCTAAGAGCAATAAGCCCGTCACAAAAGACAAATCGTATGTGATTCCACTTACGCGAGATCGCTCGAGTCAGGTTCAGAGACAGAAAGCGGAACGGTGGTGGCCAAGGCCTGGGAGGGGAGGGGGAGTGAGTGCTTAATGGGGACAGAGTTTCAGTTCTGCCAGAAGAAAAAGTTCTGGAGACGGATGGTGGTGATGGCCACACAAGAGTATGAGTGCGCTTGATACCACTGAACTGCACGCTTAATAAAAACGGTAAATTAAAGCAAAAAAGAATACTCTTTCTTATGTGGGAAGCACCTCCAATAGCTCCCTTTCTGCTTTTTCTCCTTTGCCACTGAGCCAGCCGCACAACTAGACACACAGGGCGCTGTCGTAGCCACGACTTGTAGTTGCTGGATTCTAACACTTCGCAGTCTGGGGCCTCGCTGACCCTGGAGGCTCAGCCCCTTCTAGGTAGGGTCAGCCAGCTCCTAGAGAGGGTGCACACCTTCAATGTGCAAACCAACCAATCTGAGGCCCACACCTCCACCATCTCCTCCATCCACCTCTCTCTCCACCTGCCCTCAGCACCCAGGGCCAGGAAGACAAGTAGGGACAGCGCCCCTGCCTCAGAGTCCACTCAAATGACTAGCTAGCCAGTCCGAAGCCTGCGTACCCTGCCTGTTCCTTCCCGTGGAACCCACAATAAAGACTCCTGCCCACAGTTCCCCCTTCTCCTTCTGCCTCCTGACCGACCATGGTACTTCCCCACATGACCCCCATGGTATGGTGTCCCACCCCGCCCCAATACGTATGTGGACACCCTATCCTCCAACGTGCTGATATTAAGTGGGGGGCTTCGGGAGGTTGAGGAGCTGATGAGTGCAGTCCTCAGGGTGTGATTAGTGCCCTTGCAAGGAGAGAGCAGAGAGCTTGCTTGTTTGCTTTCCCTGCCATGTGGGGACATAGTGAAAAGGAGGCCTTCACAAGCCAAAGAGGGGGCGCTCACCAGGACCTAAGCTGTTAGCACCTTGATCTTGGGACTCCCTAGCCTCCAGAACCGTGAGAAATAAGTGTCTGTGGTTTAAGCCGCCCTGTCTATGGGATTTTGCTATGGCAGACCAAGCTAAGCCACTTCTCTTGGGAACTGTGATAAGAAGCTATCTTTTCAATGGCAACGGTCTTCTGATCTGTTGGTTTTACCGTTTCTCAAATTTTCTATGAATACACTATTTTAAAACAGGCATTCACATAGCCACCCAAGATTGGGGTTTCCTTGCTTTGAGGGGGCTCTCCTTTAAAAGGAGGAGGTACCCCTCAATTAAACCCATGCCCTTCCTCAAAGAGGAGGCAACTCAGGCCACAGGAAGCCGAGGTCTGTTGAGCCAAAATGTCTGACGGACGCTCTGTGGTCACACCGCCCCCCAGTCCCCTTCCCGTTACAGTGGCTTCTGTGGTTTGAGAATAATTTCACCCCTCATGGTGTCTGGAAATGGATTTTTATGGCCAGACCCAATACTGGGGATCTTTGGTCTTGTCAAAGGGGATCATCCCTCTGTTCCAAGACAGCCTGAGCTGTGGGGGCCCGACCTCCACTGCAGGATGACCTCACAGCCCCGGTCTCTCAGTGGCTGCTAACAATCAGAATTCTCCCGGGTAGGATCACCACCCAGGCTCTTCCCGTGTGCTCCCTCAGCCAACAGGCCTCACGTCACTCACGTCAATTAAATGCTTGACTTCGTGCTTTCGGAGGTCACTTCCGATTTTGGCTGCTAACAGTACACATGCTCCAGCACAAAGCTTCCGGTTCTGTTTGTTTAGCTTTCCCTTGAGGGCGAGCTTCTCAAAATAGACAAAGGCCATGGCCACTGTGGGCTCCTCGAAGCCACAGTCCTCCTGGGCAAGTTTCCGCATCTCTCGCTTCAGACTGGAGAAAGACAGGAAGGAACATTATCAGAACTTGGGAGTTTCAGGACTCCAAAGAGAAAGACTAGTCGATCCCGAAAGCATTTCCTTTTCCTCATTCCCAGAAGGGTGACGTGGAATGGGACTAAATCCTGAGGCGTAAGAAATTTCCATTCTATGTGGGCAACAGACTTAAGCTGCTGGGGCTCTTCTCTCTTGGTGGAACTGTAGACCACGTCAGCAAGGGACACAGAAGACCACACTGAACCCAGGTGGTGTCTGAGGGTCTCTGGAACCTAGGTGTAGAGCTGTCCAAAGGGAAAGAGGGAAACCATGAGGGGAACTATGATCATTCCAGACAGACACCTAGAGAAATAAACGAGGTCCCTGGTACCAACTCCGAGGATCCGCCATGTTCAAAAACTATGGCGGAAGAGGGATCAGGCTAACAGCACAACAACCAGTGTACTTAGGAATGCTACCCAACAAATGGACAAAGCGTGAATACTTCATTTTTCTCACGCCTTTGGCTTGGAACATGCCAGAATCAAATCAGTATTGGGCTACACAGCATGTAAATACTGGCACATACTCCCACGCTGTGTTGGCATATATTCTAGCCTCCGTCACTATGTGCACTGAGAGTCTGTCCTGATAGAGGCAACCCCAGGCAGCTCCTCTCCGGGCCGGCAGATTCGGGTCACCACAAAGTCAATCCAATCAGCTGCAGGGGAAACATGGGCCTGACTTTGCTTCGGCTGTCAACTCTCGGGTGGACGACTGTGGGCAGAGGATTATCTCAAATGCCATTAAACCAACTCTTTTCTGTTTTGTCTACATTTGAGAAAGCAGGGAACTGAATGTTTCCTCTTCTGAGTTTTCTGTAACCTAACCCTGACTGAACTGCTAAGCCTCAGACAGTAGGAAATTCTGATTCTTTCACTTAAGGAAACTCCCCCAACACCCATGTCACCTCGCGTCAAAAGCTCCGCCTTCTGTCCTGCTTCCTTGGCTCTCACTCACGGAGGCAGGAGTCAGCCAGCAGCGGGTGAGCCGCTCCTTGCTGCACGCACCTGTGTTTTACTTCCCTGAACTACACGAGGAACCAGCATATAAAGCGGGAGCTTATTAATGCATGCCAGGAGAGGGCTTGAATGGAAAGTTCAAGTGGATGTCAAGCCTCACGTACCTCCTTATTTTGCTGAGTGTTAACTTAATGTGAGGAAACTTCTCCTTGAAGGTCTCATTCATGTCCTTCTTGAGATCTGAGGGCTTCACGTAGTCGATTACTGTGGTCTGTAAACAGGTTGGGCAACTCAGGTCACTCTCTTAAAAATTTTTTTAAAGATTTTATTTATTTATTTGAAAGAGAACAGAGCCCCAGTGGGGAGGGGAGGGCAGAGGGAGAGGGAGAAGCAGACTCCACACTGAGTAGGGAGCCTCACACGGGGCTTGATCCCAGGACCGTGAGATCATGACCTGAGCCGGGCTCCCTGCTCAGCGGGGAGCCTGCTTCTCCCTCTGCTGCTCCCCCTGCTTGTGCGTGTGCTGACAAAATCTTTAAAAAAAATAAAAATAAATAAAATAAGGGTCATGGGTAACAATTATGTGCACATTATGGCCAACTTACACCACTTCTGACAGCACCAAGCAGTGAGGAAGCCCGGAGGAGAAGCACGGCAAGGGCCCCCCTGAGCCCCAGCACCTGCAGGGACACAAATCCGCGTTCCAGCAGGTGACTTCGGGGAGCAGCAGCCTCCACACAGCCAGCAATCAGGGTCTGGCAGGGAGGGAGCCCCTCTTTCAGTTCCTGGGCCTCAGCCTGTTACTTAGCAGCGTTTAGGGCACGGCTGGTAGACCCGCACACACGAGGCTTCAAGCCACACTTGACCATCGCTAGTCGTCCGGCTGTGGGACATTTCTCACCACCCCAAACATCAGGTTCCACATCTGTAAGATGAAAACAGCTAACAGTGCCTACTTCACATGGCTATTATAAGAACTACGGGGGAAGTCAAGGGCTCAGTGCAGCGCTTGGCATACAGCAAGCACTTAATAAATGTTAACTATTTTGGGCGCCTGGGTGGCTCAGTTGGTTAAGCGACTGCCTTCGGCTCAGGTCATGATCCCAGGGTCCTGGGATCAAGTCCCGCATCGGGCTCCCTGCTCAGTGGGGAGTCTGCTTCTCCCTCTGACCCTCCCCCTTCTTGTGCTCTCTCTTTCTCATTCTCTCTCTCAAATAAATAAATAAAATCTTTAAAAATAAATAAATAAATAAATAAATAAATGTTAGCTATTTTTTCATTGTGGGAAAATATACATCACATACAACTTACCATTTTAACCATTTTAAAGCATGCGGTTCAGTGGCATTAAGTACATTCACGCTGGTGTGTGGCCATCACACCACGCATATCCGGAACTCTCATCATCTTGCAAAACCAAAACTCTGTCCCCCAAAACTCCCTATTCCCCGCCCCCACCCCAGTTTCCACTGGCAACCGCCATTCTGCTTTCTGTCTCTGAACCTGACTTCTCTAGGACCCTCATACAAGTGGAATCATACAGTGTTTGTTCTTCCGTGGCTGGCCTGTCTCCCTCAGCATTACGTTCTCCAGGTTCAACCACAGTGCAGCTCGGGTCAGAATTCCTTTCCTTTTTAAGGCTGGGTAACCTTCCATTGCGTGTATATGATGTCAGCTAGTAGTAACAGTCCTTTAAATGTTCGGTTTCTTCCTCTTCCCCTCCCCTTCTTCTTTCTTTAGCAGGCTCTTTGCCCAACGTGGGGCTTGAACTCACAAGCCTGAGATCAAGAGCTGCATGTTCTCCAGACCGCGCCAATCAGGCGCCCCTCCCCTCCCCCTTTCTAATCCTATCCATCTTTAAAGACTGGTTCCTTTGAGCCCCGTCTGAGCACCCGGGTCTTCCTGACTCATTTGTGCTATTCGGTATTAACTCTGAATGAAACACAGTCTCTGGCTGGGTCTCACCATGTTAGCCTCACTCCTCCTCCTCGGGATTCTGCTTTCAAAGGGCAGCAACAATGCCTGATGCCTCTCTGGCTGGCTGCTGGCAATAGCCTTCACCAGGCAGAGCCCGGGAAAGGAGCAGGTACGGATTCTGCTGAGAAGGCCCGTTCCTGGGGATGGCTTCTGCGGCCTGGCCTCTCCCGAGGGACGCGTCCCCACGTTCCTCCATGGCTCTACACCAGCGGGCAGCTAGCTGTAAACACCTCCGTTCAGGAGACGCTTGGCTGGACAGGATTTTAGAAGTGGCACGTGGGAGGCCTCCGGTGTCCATTAATAACCGAGAGGAGACACAGCCAGCATGTCCCAATTCACACTGATCTAAACACCACCTTCGTAACAGCAGCTTTGGCGAGTAAAAGCGAAACCATGGCAAGATGAACTCAAAACGGTTCCACCAAACTTGTTCAGAACCTTCTCAAATTCTGGGTGGAAGCAGACTTGGTGTGATGCCAAGAGTTCTTCCGTGGCGCCATGTCTTTCTGGCCCAATCCAGAAGGCTCTCCCTCAGCTGGCCCAGGACACGGACGTTCTGGGAGCCGCCCTGTGCATGCACCTGTGATGTGCTGGCAAGGAGCAAGGGAGTGGCACCGTGGCCCCAGTGTGCAAACACAAGCATGCACACACTTGGGTGCGGTGATGTGCCGGGCAGTGAGAGGAGCGGGGCACGGGACTTCACGGAGGCCACGTACTGTCTCGCAGAGTGGACGCTTCCCCTGTGGCAGCCCTCCAAGACGCGTTTATCATCCCCGGCAGACGGGGCTGAACAGGATGTACAATTTTTCATTTAGGAAAGCGGCAGCAGAATGGGGAACTACCTCTAACACGGTTACCTCAAGCTGGGCCCACTGGCCAATCAGCCAATTCTTCTGTTCCCGAAATACCCAGCCCTCCCCCTCCCTCTTCTACCCCATACCAGGCACCCCGAACTCTCAGGGACAGACTCTCCTGCTCATCCTTGGTGGACGCAAGTCTCGAGCAGAGACTCATAGGCCCTTGCTGGGGACTGAAGCCGGTGAGCTCCAAGCAAGGATATCTCGGAGTGGGAAGGGGTGGTCTGGATCCTTCTGTGTGGCAGCCACAGCAGCTGCGCTCTGCCCTACATGCATACACACACAGAGAAGCGGCCCGCAGCTGCGAGCCAACCACCTCATCTCAGAGGGGGAAGGGGCAGGGCCAGCCCCAGGAGCCAGGGCTCCCAGTTCGCCACCCGCACTGCCTTCCTGCGTTTCCGCTCCTAATCGGGCTAAAAGGAGCAAGGGAGACAGCTCGGGACTGCTGGCAGGTAGGAAGGGCCGGCTGGCGGTGGGCAGCTCTGCCTCCAGCAAGGGGGAAACCCTGAGAAAGAGGTGCAGCCTCCCGAGGCCTCGCCTCTGCTTCCCTGAATGAGGACAAGCACCTGGCGCGGCTGCTTCACAGGTTTCTCCCCAAGCGCCGACAGAAACCACCACGTATCTAACGGACACTGGAGAAGTCTATCGAGAGCACAGAGGCAGGAGATGGCAGAAGGCCGGGCTCTGCACCAGGCGCGCTGAGTCAGCGTGTGAGGGCGGGGGGGCGGGTGCCTGGGATCCATCCTCACAGTCACATTGCCCGGGTGACTTGCACATCCAGCAGTCTCCCCGCCTGGCTAGCACCCAGCCACGGCTCGGCCTGGAGCCGCTTCTGCGGGATCATCTTCCCTAAAGCCCCGGCGGCCAGGTCACTCTCGCAGTGACTCACCCTCACTACACGCTATGGTCTGGAGAGCTGGCCCTCTCCCGGGACGCGCCGTGCTCTACATCCAGATTCCTTTGCAGCTAGGATCCCAGGTACCACGCCGGTTCCTCTGGTCCCACGCACCGGCCAAGGTGGCACCACTGGAGCGGAAGCTGGGCTTCTTCCTGCTGCTCCTTCCATCTCAGAAGGACCGCACACACCAACAACCCAGCTCAGCCTGCAGCCCTGCGCCCAGGCCTTGCAGGAGAGACCGTTTTCACAAGTAACCCTGTCCTCACTCTTGGGGTACAGAGCCCAAGGCCTACTTTTCCTGAGAGCAGGAGTGGACCGTACATTTATTTCCAGGCTGGTCCTGGAGAGGGGGGCAGACGGCGGGCCAGTGAGCCAACACGGAGTCCCTGGGCCCAAGGCCTGGCTCCCAGTGTGGGCAGCACACAGCAGCCGCAGGCATAGCCAAGCCCTCGAGTTCATCTTCTAGGTGACAGAATTCCTCCGAATCCGCTCTGCTGTCCAGAGGTACAGAAGCGCATTCCGTCATCCTCCCCGCGTGGAGTTTCCAGCCTCAAGGCCATGTCCTTGCCACTGTTCTGGCGTGGAGTGGGAAGCCTGTTGGCAGCCTAACCCTCTACTTCTTTATCTGGCTGTCACTGGGCTACTCTGTGGGTCTTTTCTAAAGTAGATCTGGTACATTTTGGGGTGGGGGGTCTCTGCAAACCCCCATCCCTGTCAAGGCCCCCCATTTCCTGACCCCCATGTGGCTGGCAGCCTTCAGGACAGTGTGGCAGAAGGAAGGGCTCCACTGGATATGGGAGAGCTGGGCCCGGCCCTTCCAGGGTGGCTGCTCTGGGAAGCCCAAAGGCATCCAGGGAAGGAGAGGAGAACACGGACCACCGGAGGCTTGCAGCCACGGTCCCCGAGGCACGGGCCCAGTGCCGCCATCACTCTAGTCCATCTCCTGACATCGATGGTGGGGTAGGCTGGTCTGGGGCAATGAAAGGCCTCCATGACGCAAGACAGGAGGAGGATGGTGGTAGGCTGGGGATGTCAGTCTGAGCACCTTAGGCAGGTAGAGAACACAACAGTGGTTGCCTCAGTTTCCTGTGCTGCCATCACCCAGTACCACAGGCTGTGCGGCTTAAACAACGGTCTCTCGGTTCTGGAGGCTACGAGTCTGAGATCAAGGTGTCAGATGGGTTCCATTCTCTCTAAAACTATGGCCAGAATCCTTCCTTGCTTGTTCCTAGCTTCTGGTAGTCCCAGGCACCCCTCGGCTTGTGGATGCATCACTGTAGTCTCTGCCAGTCCTCACCCGGTATGCTCCCCACGTGTCTGTTCACATGACTGTCTTCTCTCTGGCTCTCTGTTTATAATGACATCAAGTCATACTGGGTTAGGCCCACCTTACTCCAGTATAATCCCAGCTTAACTAGTTTATATCTGCAAACACCCTAGTTCCAAATAAGGGTCACAGTCTGAGGTCGTAGGGGTTAGGACCTCAACCATTCAACCCAGTGCAGCGGTGCGGACGCCAGCTGCCCTTCACAGGCCAGA